CTTAATTATTCTCAAATTTTGAAATTTAATTTTTAAAACTTATCGATAATTTATATATAAATATAATTTAAATTTATTTCAAATTATCATGTTCATATACATATTTTTCAAATATTTAGATTTCTTCAATTTTTATTTCAAATCTTAATATTTAAATTTCTTTAAATTTGTATATTCAATCTTTCAAATATAACTAATCTCACATATTCAAATTTTAATATTTCAAAATTATTATAAAGATTATAACATTATCAAAATTTATATAATTAATATTTTGTAATTTAAATATATTATTAACAATAAATATTATTAGATAAAAATATATATAATAAAAAGTAAATTATACAAATAGTAAAGAGTTTTTATTTTTTATTTTTGGCTGAGCCCAAAATAGGCTGCCTACGTACCCCAAGTGGGGATCAAGCCATACGTAGTTCTCCAAGTACAACCAATATAGTCAATACAAATAATCAACCAGCTAAGAGCCTAAGTCTAAACTAAGTAAGCAATTGCTAAAGCTATCAAAACTAGAAGACTACCGGCAGGACTACTAATACTAACCACATTAGATGAAATCCATCACCCAATCATATATGCCTAAGTATGGGGGCAAACGTACCTATCGATGAAAGTGAAAACTCGGTCAACCCTCAGCATCTGCTGGTACGAGGCCTCGGATCCGCGGAGGGATGTCCCCTGGCTCTAAAATCCGGTCATCCAAAAGGGAAACAGTTGTGTTTGCTAGCGCATCCGCCACCTGATTTCCCTCGCAGTAGATATGGGATATCCGCCAAATGATACCACGGAGCTGTACTCGTAATAGGCTAAGGCACGTTTGAAGAGTCCAGTGCCCGGATGGCGATGAAATCAATGTCATACTGCATGTCGAGTCAGTCTCAATCCATAGGGGGAAGAAACCGCGCTCCACCGCTAAAACCACACCTCTACATATCGCCTTCAATTCTGCCAAAGTATTCGTCGCGTATCGAATCGGCGATTGATATGCAAACATAATCGCTCCGAAGGTGTCTCGTATAACACCGGTGGCTCCCGCCGGTCCCGAGTTTCCAAACGACTGTTAAAAGAAATAATTTAAATGTAAGGTAAAATTGTTTATAACTCCTCTGTGGTTTCGAAATTCAGCGTAAAATCTCCCTATACTTTAAAAATTGCATGGTATCCCCTTATACTTTAAAAAACGTTGCATGAAACTCCACCACCGTAAAACTTTCCTCATATGATACAAAGATGATTTCCTATCTATATGTTTTGCATGGCAGGGAATTTCATGCAATATTTTTTAAAGTATAAGGGGGCGTCATGCAAGTTTTTAAAGTAAAGTAAGGATTTATGCTAAGTTTCGAAACCACGGAGTGGTTTCATGCAACAATTTTTAAAGTATAAGGCGGCCTCATGCAATTTTTAAAGTAGATGGGAGATTTACGCTGAGTTCAGAAACCATAAGTGAGTTATTAACAATTTTGCTTTTTTTTTTAAGAAATAATAGTATAATATTCATTTCTATTTTTATATTTTTAACTATTTTACACCCGCATACATTATAAAAATCGTTTCTATGTTGGTTTGTTTGTTTAGTATTTTAGTTTGAAATTTTTTTTTTTTTTATGTAAAATATTGATAATTATATAGATAATATAAAAAAAAATCTTTTGTGTTAAAAGTTAACTTTTGTTGAGAGAATATAATATATGGGTGTGTTTGTTTGGGGGATTCTTCCCAAAAATTACTATTTATCAAATTTTTTCTTTAAAATATATCAAATCAAATAGTTGTTTTTCTTTTTTATATTATACCAAAAATTAATTTTTCATTCAAAATATCACATTATCTATTTATATCACATTACACAACTATTATCATTCAAAATTTTTATTATTCAAAACTCAAAATCCAAACCCCCAAAATACACCCTATATATATCTATATATATATATATTAAAAATCGTGTAATTTACTTTTTTTATTGGACAAACCAACATTTATTTATTTACTTATTTACATACAACTTACGTGTAGAAGTGATAAAAATTTAAATTTTATAGTTTTTTTTATAACAATATATAGTAATAGTTTTTTTTACAAATAATTTGTCCACTTTATATTTTTCGGTGACACATTTCTCTATAAATATTATAAAAATATAATATATATATATAAACATACGTTAATATATAAATTTTATCTACCAATTTAATATAAAATATTTTATATCATCAATACGATTTTATATATTTAATTCATAAATTATATTCATTTAAAAACACAAAATGAACATTCTTATAATTATTATTTAAGTTAAACTTATATATTAAAATACAAATAAAAAACACATTCTAATTCCCAAATATAGGGTTTGTTTGCCTGCCTACATTTTTTTTAATACGATTCCTAATATATATATATATTTTTTTTATCTTTTTACAAAAGTCAATATTCAATATAAAATATTAGTATTATTTTTTTACAATATCGATACAATTTTTTATAACTCACATAAAAAAAAATTCAAATAAAGACAATAAACAACCAAATCCATAATATAAATCATTATTGGAAAAATGAAAAACAACTCAAATGAACAAAGCCTTTCACCTAATCTTTTTTTCCAGAATCCTCAATAAATATTACAAAATAAATATAATATATATACTTACATACATATATAATATATACTCAAATCCCAAAAAAAAAAAAATTATAATTCAACACAAAATATTATTTTTTATATTAACGATATAATTTTTCTACATAATATAAAAATATATGTATTTAAAAACATAAAGTGAACATATATTTCTGATGAATAGTATCAAAATATACAATATATTATACATACACTAATATAATACACATAATAAGGTAAATTGTATAATACTTACATGTATTTTATTATAAATAGATCAAATATATTGTGTTCTATGTATTTTGTAAAATCTGTGTTATATTAGGATATACAAAGCTGATGTTGATTATCAATACACGATTAATTATGTACATGTTATGCAAATAAATGAAATAAAATATCTTAAATATACATATTTGAATAAACTAAACTTGATAGCCTTTATTGTATAGTTTCCAAAATAAAAACGACTTATGACTTAATTTTATTATTATTTTTTTTAAAAAAAAATTAGAACATGGGAATCCGCAATTGTTATTCGAAAGTGCGCACTAACTAAATCTCCAATCGAACCTCATACCCTGCAAACTAGCTCCGACAAAGCTATTCACACTAGACGAACCATATGTGGTCGATGGACCTATGGACCTGTGTGGCAGGTTTATTCTTTCTTTCCGCATAAAGTGTGATTGTGGAGATTATTGATGGTATATATAATATTAAATTATTTGGAATATGTTTTTTTTTTATAAGTTTGGGACAATATTAATTTGAATTTGATATTAAAATAATATATAATAAAATATTTTGTGAGAATTTTTTTTTTTTTTTTGGTAAATTCATAGTCCAAATAATAAAACCTTGAAGTCTTTGAATAAAAAAAACAAACCCTTGGTTATTAGGTGCAATGTACTTTATTTTGGTTATTAGTTGCAGTTAGATTTGGGTTTAATCTTTTAAATGCAGGGCGTAATAATTTTTATGGGCAATATAATTGTGTGCTTAATAAAAAAACCACTTAAAAAGGGAGAATATTATTTTTTTTGCTTAAAAAAAAAGACATTTTTTTTGACGAAAAAAAATAAAATATTATGACAAGAAAGTATTTATTTATATAAAAATAATTATTAAAAATAAAAAGAATTATTATTAAAATAACCCAGTAACCAACGAAGCAAAACGTATTTATATACTACTATATGTATTTTTTGGTTTTGATATATTCTTAAATCATAATTGTGTCTATTTGTTTGGAGTTCAATTACAAATCGGCACAATTCTATTATTATTATTTTTTCTTCTCAATTTTTTTTTTTTTGTAAACCTATTTATATAATCTTTTATTTCTATCCATTGTAAATAATAAATATATTTATATATAGAATCATTTATACTTTATAAAATAATTTATATTATTTTATATAAATATACATTTTACTTATTTATATTATTTAACATTTCATTCTCCACAAAATATAAATATACTGTTAAAATATAAAATTTTAAATAATATTTCCTTCGTCCACTTAATAAATTTATATATATCTTTTACGTCATTATATTTATAATTTTTTTATCCAAATGTCATTATATTTCTATTGTAAAATACTAATAGACATATTTTTGTTATTTTCCTTTAATTTTTATTAAATTATGATATAATAATTAATATTTAAAGACCAACACTAAAAAAAACAAATGACAATCTTGTAAATGAACAGTATAATATATATTTAGTTAAGCTTACAACCAAACAATATTCCAATACTTAGAAATACAATCCAACTAACCTTAGTAGCAGTCCAAATGTTTCAGGTGTATTTATTTGTATTTTCAACCTTCACCGACGTTCTTTTTCACTTTTATTTTTTCTTTTCTTACTTTTCATTTTGTCATTCACAATAAAATCATACATATTTTTCATATAAAACATCACATTTAAATATTGTTTTACCTTTTTTCTAAAAAAAAAAAAGAAGCGCTAATTATAGTGTATATATACGGAGAAGGTTACAATGCTGAATTTGAAAAATCAACACAATCAACACACGTAAAAAACATATGATATTTGTAATAAAAACATGTGTTATTAGTTCATAACTATAGCGTGTGCTGTATAAGAGTATGCCACATGTGTTGTGTGAGAGTATCTCATGTGCTTTATTTGTATTATATTAAAATATATTGTGTACTATTTATGATAACACCGTGTGCTGTCCTGTAGCAAACGGTGTGCTATTCAGCACAGAGTTGAATGTAAGCACTGCATGTGTGTATATATATATATATGTGTGTATATATATATATATATATGTGTGTGAGAGTGTGTGAAACTCAAATATATTATACAAAGACATGAATGTAAGATGTAATGATGTTAAAAATTAGGAAAATATTTATACAAAAACAAAAAGCAATATCACCAAGACAAGACAAGAGCAGAGTTGTAGTTATATTAATCTGTGTGTGTGTTTGTTATACTTATATTACTGAGGGTGTGGAAGATTCACGTTCTCTCCAACAACCATTTTCTCAGGACCATTGCTGCCACAAATAAATAAATATCAATTCTTGGCAAAATCATTGTTAATCTCTATATAAATTTTTGGCAAAATCATTGTTTGGAAAGTTTCCACCATTCAAACTACGATTTGTTTTAAAAATTATTACATAAAATCGATAAATAAATTGCTTTAGACTCTCGTATTTTCAAAATAGTGCAAAAAAAAGAAATTGTGCAATATTTTAAAAATTACGTAAGAGTCTTAGGCAATTTCTAAATGAAGAGAAAAAATAATGCAGTTTTTATAAACCATAAGTGAGTTATAAACAATTTTGCTTATATTTTTTTTGAAAAACCGTTATTATTCAGTTTAATCAATTCCAATTATAAACCTATATATACACATTCATATGTATATTTAGAGAGAGAGAGAGAGAAAGAGTAAAAACCTGAGGTAGCTCAAGGCAGACATCCTGTAAAGGCAAGTGAAGACCAAAATGTGCAGCCCAATAGTGTAGAAAAATGCAAATGTTCTTGCATACCTGAAATAAGGTTTGAACACCCAATTATTTAATAGGACAGACACACCCAGGATAAAAATTCGAGAGTCGGAAATGTACTTGTTTCCTAGAAGAAACCGCCCACTGCTGAGGGTTATTTTGTCCCTCAATCCGAGCTCCTTGTACCGTTGATCTCTTTCCTGTTTAAAAAAACAAAACAACGCAAGGCAGAAGTTTTAATGAATGCATACTTTCGGAATATTACACAAACCATCTTGAATTATTAGTATAATGTAGGAAATTCGAGTTCTTGGCACATGAAAGTCTTCTGTCTGATGACAAGGTTCATAAAAGCAAAAATTTTGCACGATCAACTTTATTTCATTCTGTCTGCCGGAAACAGTGATTATAGAGTTGCAGACAGAAAGAAATAATCTAAAGGGGACTAAAACTTTAGGCAATGAATTTGTGAAGTTGATTGTTGATTATAAACAAGGTAATTAGAGGGTATACAAATACAAAGGAACAATTAGAGAAAGATTAACAACACCGACCTTCTTTGAAAATGCTGCGAATGGGTTTATATCATCCTCATAGATTTTCTTGTATTTGGACTCAACGTCAGAGCTAAATCCACTTTCTAAATCTTCAGCGTACTGAAAAAAATGAAAAAGGGTAAGTCATCGGACTACAAAATATAGAATAGCAAATGCAAGACGGTACCTTCTTTGTTCCTCGAGATATTACTTTTTCAGAATTATAATCCTGAACATAACGGATTTTCCCGTAGAGCTTGACATTATCTGCTTTAGTTTTCTCAAGTTCGGTAGTTAGCATACCGATCTTCTCGTTCAGTTTTGTTATTTCCTGGCAAGATTTGAATTAAACGGGTCAAAGAACAATAAAAAGAAATGAGAAGGAAACAGTATTGTAATTACGGGTGTTGTGCAAGGAGAGTGGTAGTTTCAACAGACCTCTTCAGTCTCCCGCAAACGAGCACGGAATCGATCACGTTGACTGCAAATCACCTTAAGCATAGAGCTTTGATCTAGATCAGAAGGACCACGCCTTTGTTCTGAATTCTGCACAGCAAAATTTCAACAGCAGCTAAACTTAAAAGGTTGCCTGTTTTATTTTTCAGAAGAGGATCGTCACAGAAATTTGCAATGCCAGTGGCTAGAGTCTAGGCAAGAGTGATCGAGTTACTGTTAAATGATAGGAATAGTGCAGGAAGTGGTATTTGTATGGTGGCGTATAGGCATAATACACTGAAGAGATTAAAGAGAAAAATAACCAGATTTCCGTCTTTCAAAGAGGGAAGGAACCGTCCAATTGAAAAATCAGTTGAAAATGAAGTGATATGAATGCTAGGTGAAATCAGTTGAAAATGAAGTGAAATGAATGCTAGGTGATGGGAACTCTTAAGACTTTCTATCGGGAAAACAGAAATGCCTCCAGCATCATGCAGAGTGTACCAAGCGTCATCTTTCTTCAGAGAGTCATTTAGTCAGATTGCCTTATGAAATAAATAGCTCATGTGATGACTGATGAGGTCTAACATAGGAGGTAGAAAGTATCAGTTGAAGGACTAAACTTATTTGGCTTCATATTGACATTTATTTATCTGATGCGATATTACTAATCGACATGGATATCATCATCTATATCCCAAATATATCATAAGCTTATGAAGAATCTTTTTGGGGCAATCATTGAGAAAAGTACTGTTAATCAAAGATCTTATTGCTCTGGCAAAACGAATGAACTTATTTCTCCCTGAAACTAGAATCCAAGTTGATTTTCAAATCAACCATGGGATTAGACTTGTGGTCAACAATTAGTTTAGAGGAAAAAAAGACAAACCTAGAGAAGCCACCAGAGACCATATCAAAGAAGCTTACGAGTGTTTGAAAGTTCATAGAAAAAGCAAGGATAAAGCAATAAAGCACATCGACAGTGTTTGATCCATTAATATATCAATCATTTGGGTATGTGCTACGTCCAGGAATGTCATAGGACTAACCTCAACTTTGTTTACACCTCCTGACTCTGACAAGTCCCAATCATCGAGAAAATTACCTTTCTTCTCATTGGAAGTATAACCCTGCATTTTAAGTAATCAATAGAAATAATTAGCGAAATGGACATTATTTCGCTCAACAATTTTGAATGATCATATCAACTCATAGACACACAATACCCAGTTGATATATAAAATCACATCAAAATCAGTAAAGCACATATATTTTATTGAATACCAAATTGGTCAAGGAATAGAATAATAGGGGAAAATAAAAGCTTAAGTTAACCTTCAGTATATCATCTTCTAATTTCTGGATAAGTCTTTGTTGTTCATTGACTTGTGCTGTTAGTTCTTCAATCTTAGATTCAGCAGCTTCCAGTAAAGATGACTTTTCAGCAATTTTGACCTGAGACATTTTGAAAGATATAATTCATCAACCGAACACTAAAATGAAGTTCTAAATGTCATATGCATATCATGTTTATCTGTACTAATTAAACACAATGCTTCTCCCAATAACATCCCATAGTCTGAACAAGTTTAAGAGTTATTAGCAACAAGTAAAATGCCTTTAGGGAAAATCAGCTGCTTGAAGGACATTATACCTTAAATTGTGTCACTTCATGCTCCAGTTTACGGTTCTTGTCGAGAAGTAATGACTCCATCTTGCTCATTTCTTCCCCACTTGTGGCTACTTCCCAGTCCTCAGCTTCAATTGAGTTATAGCCAACAGCCTATAAATAATACAATGATATATCAAACAAGAAAATTGGATAGAGCACTTCAGGTGATGTTCTCGATCATCTTTTAGAAAAAAATTTAAAGATGCTAGTATGCACATATGCGTGACTCCTTGTGTGCAATAACCTAGCAATGTAACACTTTTCACCATATTATTGCTAAGAAATAATGTGCACTACAGTTGGAAAGGGATAAACTCTTACAGGGACCAAATTAACAATATACAGTAATTATTCAATCATAAACCATCAATTTCATATGAGATAAAACTAAATAAATAAATGAATTTAGATAGTTGATCTTTACAAATTTATGAGGATACAAGAAAAGCTTCAATCTAATTAGTTACTTTTTATAATTCTAATCTGACTATCATCAAGCATTTTCCATGCATTAGTTCACAGACACCCCAAAAAAAAATGCAGAAACAAAAATATTTCAAATTAAAATAAATAACCCTTAAACTTGAAGATGACACACAATTCCCCATAAATATTAATAAAGAATAGTACAATATACACACACTAACACAATATATATAATATACTTTATTCATTCACAAAAAGTAAACCATTCAACACAACATATTATTTTTTATATTACCGATACAATTTTCTATGCCTAACATAAAAAACACATTCATCTAAAAACACGAAGTAAACAAACCCTACATTCCTACATATATATAAGTATCATAATAACAAAGAAAAAATTAAAATGAAACAACTAATAAAATGATTTGAGCATATAGAAAATCATATTAGTGACACTCCTGTACTCCCATCCCCAACATTCCATCTTTGTTTACTGGTTTCACAGGCAGATATATGGAGGATGTCAAGGTCCAAAAGGAGTATATAAGTTGACTAATACACACTCCTAAGCCCTAAAAGAAAAGTCAAGGTTACAAACTATGGCATAAAAGCAAGAACCTCTTGCAGAAGTTCTATACACATGGCAAGGCTGACATATCAATAAATTTATTTACAAAAATTGCTTGTGATGAATATCAGAATATATAAAGTTCTAACATATTTTGTATCAGTCAACATTGGGAGTCCTTATGTTGGAAAATGAATCCTTGTACTTCAGCTTTTGTTCATTTGAGTAGTTGATACTTGATAATATGACCCATCTGCATGATTTATCAAGGACAATGCACCAAAGACTAGACTCTTTCTTAAAAAAGGCTAAATTCACCTCACCTGCAAAATCTTAACTTTCTTACGCAAATCATCAACAAGCTTTTCGGTTGGCTTTGCTTGGAGCTCTTTCTTCAACTCCTCAATCTCATTTTCCTGATAATTTTTTTGCAAATAAAAAGTTAGTAATAAAAACTATATTGAAGGTTAAAAGACAAGAAAACATGAACTAAAAAATAAAAAATTAAATTATGTTTATTCAGCCTTTTAGAAATAAAATCAGATCACTTCTAAATACCTACAATAAAATTCAGGATACAGAGAAACCTGGATATTAGTGACAATGCTAAATTCATGCAGTTTGCAAGACATTCATGGATTTGCAGTTCCACATGAGTTAACCAGTTTTGAGTGGCTGCTTACAGAAGGGTTGGTTTAATCTAGAGCTAGTAGGATTTTGGATACACAATGAAAACCAATTAGTCAGGGAAAAAATAACATTAGCAGCATTAAATATAATGTGATAAATTTCTACTGGAATGGAATAATGAACTAATTTAGGTCCATGTGGAACTTATTATCGTACAGACCCAAAAGTGAGGGCACTCAAAGTGAGAATTATCAAAGTGATGAAAATAAAGCTATGAAGTTTTCCGAAAGTCTTTTTTATGGAGTCTGAAAGGAAGTAAACAGGTAAATTGTTAAAGAAATTAAATAATTTGTGCACTATTATGTTGCGATGAATTGAATTATTCTAATTCAGTTGGATGGTTCTAGAAGATATCAACAACTTTAAGTAAACTAATTAGCATAAATAGAAACCAAAAAACCCTCCCCCAACAAGACTTGCAAGGAATGAAACTAAAAAAATTACCTTTTCATTAAGTTGAGTCTTCAACTTCTTTAGTTCATTCATTTGATTTTCTCGCTCATTGGACAGGGTTGTCTCAATATTGTGAAGTTCCATATTCAACTCCGAGATTATCTTTTCCTTGGCATTAAGAGAATTCTCAAGCATGGCATTTGCATCCAAATCATCACTAAAGCAAAAGACAAAATAAAGTGTAAGCGTTATTTGTCAAGTGAATACAGTGAAGTTCCAGATCCTAGATGGCAAGACCAAAACAGTATGCATTGAGCAAATGGAAAGAAACATAACAGAATAAACCCAACCCAACCCACTCTCTGCCCTCCTCTTTTCATAGTGATATGGATTCTCACTTGGATAAGTTTCATGTATAGTCTAGAAGCAAATTGCATCATGCTTTTATCATCAATTATAGTATGCATAGCATTAACAGGGTGGTCACTTGCATTTTATTTTATTTTTTCTCTTCATTTTTTACTATTCATTATATCATTTTCACTCTGAAAAATCACATCCAACACCCATTGTAATTCAAAACATCACATTAAAACAACTATTTTCACTTCTAAAACAATACAGCAAAAAACCGAAAAATACAAATAAGAACACAAGTGAACAAGCTCCTAGATTGAATTGGAAGAGAAATTCCATAGTACTGACTTGCAAGATATGGAAGCAGCTTTTAAATACTTAATGAGGCATTTACAAAGTGTGCTTTAGTGTTTTTGAGTATTATCATTTCCTGTCAACAATGATTGGTCTGGGAGATAGCCTTCTCATACTGAATAATTATATTTCCAATGAGAGGATGTATAACCAGCTTCTCCATTTTTTACAGGGCTGACTTTCATTAAAAAAATATATGTTATGCTCAAACAAAAAAAATAAGGGACTAAAACAATGCCGCTTCCTCCATGATAATTATCCATGCTACACTGTAAGTTCCAATTCCATAATGCAACACATAGATGTACATTGACACATTATACTCTTGACTTAATATAAACAAGAAAAAATCAACCAACACTGAAATTAGAAAAGGCCCTGGACACGCAATAAAACATGAACATACCTCTTCTTTTGCCCACTGTCTTCGTTAACTGTTTGTAACTGAGACCGCAGAAGACCCTGATAAAAAAAAAAAAAAAAAAAAAAAAAGAAAAAAAAGCAACATTATTTTAACCTAATTAACACTATTGCTCAGGCTTACAAAGATCCAAATAGATTGGTTTAGGAGAATATGCTTTAGATTTGAGGAGCAAAAGGTTGGGACGAACTCAAATGGCATTAAATACTCCCTACTCCCAAATTAACGCACATATTCCCTCAATGACGTCTGAAACTGATATTATGTTACCAAATTGGGCCTTCTCTCTGAATTTACAGTGACTTGAATATACTGGGATGCCACTGGTTTCCCACCACAACTTTCAAGGGAAAACATGCATAAGCATTCAATTAATTCCCAGAAGAGTCATTCAGTAAGAAACGGTACCTTCCTTCTACTTGTAAAAGTTTAGAGTGCTAGATATATTTATTCCACTTTTTTTCCAAAATTATCCTCATGCGAACTAGACAAGTAAACAATAACAACACAACAATTGGTTACAGTACATTTTCTTACACATCTCCCTGGGGAAATGCCAACGGCCCACAAGTGTAACAAGATACAAAAAAATATGGAATTTCTCAACAAATTCCCTTGTGTTTTGGGGTGTTTTGGTTGTTTTTGGGATAGTAAAAACTTTAAATTGAAAATAAATTCTGGATGTAATATTTTAAATGAAAATTAGGTATTACATGTGAGGATTTTAGGGGAAAAATATTTTTACTGCAGCATGAATGGTGCGAAAACAAGATTGAAACAGAAAAGAACACACCCTAAAGATCAAAGATTTGACCACTTTGAGATAAGTTATGATATCTACTGAAGATTTCGTGAATCTCAAAATGTCATGAAATTGCAGAATATTGGATAGATCTTTAATTTTCATTTGGGGATCACAATGCAGCTTTTCAGCTCTTCTTGTTGGTTCCTTAGCAGGTAGCATAATAGACTATGGATAGTATCACGGAACAATAGCCTAATGTTACAATTAAATGCCTCACTATATCATGACCGGTGGCAATCACAGCTTCTGGGTTAAAACACAAGGGAACTATCAAAATTCATCCAAATTTAAAGCAAAGTGGGTCAAGTTTTATACTTCAAAAAGAAAAACTATTCTCAGAACAATACAATAAAGGGATTCAGATTGAGAAATTTTTGGCCCATTGAAACAAATTTATAAATTACCTTCTCCCTCTCCAGACTTAGAAGCCGAGTTTGTGCTTGTTCAACTTCATCCAGTAAGATACTAATTTCTGATTGTTTTGAAGCTCTTTCTTCATCTGATCCAAGAACAAAATAAAGTTGAGAAATCTAATAACATAATTGGATGAGTTACCTAGTGAATGCAACAAACAACTGAACATCTGAATTGCATCTCTGATAGAATAACAATGAAAATGAAGGGGAAATAAATGCAGCTCTACCTGACTGAGCACGAAGTTCAAACAACTGATTCTGTGCAAATTCATGTAGTTTTTGCATGGTAGAAACACTTTCTTGTGCTTGGCGTAATTGATCTTGCAGCATTCGCTCTCTACAACAGTATAAAGACATTAAAAAATTAATTAGCTAACTCGTCCATAAAAATGATGTGCCCTAATATAAGCTTTTCTACCATCTCTTGCAGAAAAAGAAACTCATATGGACAAACCACAGATACAATCAAAATGCCTGTGAATCAAAGTGAATGTAGCACCTTTCTTTTAGAACCTCCATTGTTTTCTGATTCTCCTCTGCCAAATTGCGTTGTTTAATCTCAACTATTTCTTTCACTTTCTCCTCCATCTTACTCAATAACAAACAAATACATACACACGGATCAGCATCAAGAAAAAGATGAGAAATTATTCTATTTACTTACATTTAACAAACAACAATTTTTGACAATATAGGCCATGAAAATCAGTGTTGAAAATGAGAACACACTTAGGTTGATTTGTTATGCCATAAAATTAGGTGGCAATTAATCTCATAAACTAATATGGGCAACAATGAGGTTTAACAATATTGAAAGCATGAGACTTCAGTTTCTATACATCTGTGCTTTAGCAATTCCAGATAACTATACGCAATACATCATTAAACTCCATAACCCAGTTCATTTTTGCACTTCCTGTGAAACTAGGTGTACTCATGTGTGTTTTTATATCAATAACAAACTTATTTAAATATTATTTTATTAACTCTTTACATTTATAAGATAGGTGAAACTTTTAATCAAGATCATTGTAACTTTCACAGTCAAAGCAGCCTTCTCAACCTAGCAACATGAAGAAGCAAAAAGGATAGCAGCATAGCAGCCAAACAAGTTGAGAACAATGTATAATAGCAAACAAATGATGACCTGTTGTTCTAGCTGGCGAGTGCGTTCTTCAAGCCTTCTTATTGTTGCCTGTTGGTTTTTTAGATGAGCTGATTCAGCACGGAATTCTTCAAGCTCAACCTTCATCTTCCTATTTTCAGATTCCAATTCAGACAATTTGGTATCCTTCTCCTACAAAAGGGAATACAGAAGGGATAAACTCAGAATCAAATAAACGTACACTCAATCAATGCATAGTAGAATTAACATCCAGCATCCAGCAACTGCACTACATAGCCATTGATTCCATCTGATGCATGCTGTAATTGAAGCAGATATACAACATACAAATAGCACCCAACGTTATGTTTCAGAAGTAGAATACCACAACTACAGATAGTTGAACCAAATGGGATGAAATACAACCTTACAAACATAGGTTCCAAAAATAAAATAGCTACCTTGTGATGAGATCGTGAGATTATGTATAAATGTTCAGAGATCAACATCATCCACCCCAGATATTAGCTTAATTCTACCATCTATTTATATATATATATATATATATTACCAAATACATCTTCTAACTGCATTGTAACTTTGAATGAGTTCATTCACACGCATATGACTATGGAAAGCTTTGCATAATAATTGTAACTGGAAAGTGCACTTACTGCAATTGAAGAAAGAACTGGATAAGGATCCGGTGCTTCATAAAGCTTCTGGTAAATGTTAAGGAAAGCATTTTCTCCAAACTTAGCTCTCTTGGTGAGATTATCAACCTCTTCTTGATAGCCCTTGAGTAAGGAGTTGAACAGCTTCAACTTATCTTCATTTGGAGACTTCTTGAAGTCTGACAGAGTTAACATTCAGTGGAGAACTTAATAATGTAAGATGAGTTCTGCATATTCCAAACCTAATCAACTCGCAAGTCAGACATCAACACGAGGTGAAAGCTTACGCCGGTTGACAAGACATGACGAAATGCAATGATGTTAACAATAATGAATTGAAACAGTGTATAATACCTCTAGTGCTCTCTGCAAGTTTACGTCGGTTTTTTTGACTGTTTTCTTGATTTTCTGCTATTCTAAGCCCTTGCTCATCTAGGATTGTCCTTTCTCTCTCCAAATCAAATTCTGGAAAGAGAAAATTTAATAACCCAATATCAATAAATTCTGTTCAAAGTAAACACACTTAATATCTATTTCACAGAGCCATGATATAAAGATAAATGCAGTACTAACACCCTTTAAGAAGTCAGATGGCAATAAATCTAAGATCCTCCATACAAGTGCAGAGGAATCTAAAAATAACTCATTCTAGATCGCAAAAACATTTCTTCAAGAACCCTACAGTAACCCGAATTGAAGCCATGACAACGAACTGACTACTAAAACCATAGTAGTCAACAGAGTACCTTTCCAGTAAGCAGTAACAGCAGATACTGGGGCGGAGGACGACGATGAGTTGGATTTCTCTCTCTCCGAACCTCCTTGCAGCCCTTCCATTCCCGATCCCTTTGTCTGCTGCTCAAACTCTAACGTGAATCACTGAGATACAATCCAATTACAGGATTCCCCACCTGAAATACCAACAGCAAATTGCGCCAAACTGCATTAAATTCAAAATGTTTAATTAAGAATCGAACAAAACCTAGCTAGTAGCGCCAGCCGAAAAACTCACACGTAGCATTAACAAAATTAACTCGAATTTCTGATTCGCAATCTCCTCCGAATCACAAACCTGGGATATGTGAAAGGCATTAAATGAATCTCTTCAACCTCTTCGAGACGCGACGCACCTAACCTTGTCGCCGGTGCCAATTTCTGGTGAAATTGATCGATGATCGAAAACGGATCAGCCCCAAATCCTTCGAGTGTACGTTCTTGCACGGTTGATGTGTAATTGGTGCTTCCTTAACAATAATCCACCGTACAGTAAAATTCATTGAAATATGTTCACAAATGGATATATTTTATTTTTATTTTTTTTAAAAACAATGTTAGATATATATTGTGTTAAAATATATACTCTAATTAAAATTAGTTTATTTAACGTTAGATTATTAAGAAAAATAAATATTTTATTAAAAATATAATAAAATAAAATAAATAATTAGAAATATTTTTAAAAATTTAACTACAAGTTAAAATAAATTAAAATAATAAAATAAAAATAGTGATATTTGTTATAAATAAATATTGAATAAAATATAATAATTAAATATTAATTTTTTAATTTTTTCAAAATTAATAACAAAATAAATTTAGCGGATATTATATTTTTTTTTAATATTTATAAGAATCATGACACATAAAATTGTTAGATAGACAAACCCCTAATTGCTAAATACTACACATGGTTAAGTAAAATAAATAATTAAGATATGTGTATATTAACGGTTAATTGTGGAAAAATATTTAAACTCTTATAAATTTTCCTAAAACTTCTCATTTTTTTTTCTTTCTCTGAAACTCTATGTAAACATATTTATATTCTTTTTAATTTTATAATATCATGCGGAACACGTACCTGCACCAAAATATGGGTCATTAGTCGGCCGTACAGGACAAGGGCTCACATACATGGGACGAATTATGGCCGAGAACCAGGGGCAGAAATGTCAGCCCGCGACAATACGTTGCATTCAAATATAGTGGAAAAACAAAAAATAAATATCGATGTTGATCTCAAAGTACGCATTTCTTCTAATTCAAATACAAGGTTAGAAAGAACCAAGTGTAACGAGATTACTATATAGGGTACAACTTTGACTTTATGGAGTTACAATTGTCTTCTATTGTAGGTATAACATTATGTGTATTATTTTTTTCAAGGCGATTACACTGTTATATCACGTTCGACAATACATGTTGAAAATAGTTTCTTCTCATATCCCACATAAAATGTGGCAATGGAAGTGAAAGTGATTTTTATTATTATTATTATTATTATTATTTTGAAGGTGCATTTGACATGAAAAAAAAAAAAAAAAAGGTTGTGTTGTCAAGGAATTTTTCTTGTAATTTGGGGGATATGTGTAATTAGAGAAAATTAGTTTATAATGTGGAAAAAAATATATTGATTTTTAGAGGGACTTTTGAATGAATTAATCAAGTGAAATGTGAGTTATTGAACATGGTCAGATATAATTGAATGAATTGAAGTTGTAGACCTTGAATCGCATTATCACAATCATTTATACTCTTTTTATTGGTGAATTTTCAAGTCGAACACAGAGATTTTAAGTCATGAAATTAAATCAAGAATTTCCTAAAAAGTTCAACACAACTAGAAAAGCGAGAAATAGAGTGCTCTCTTGCAAGGGAGCAAGAAAACAGTAAATGACAAAAAATAAAAGAAAGCAGTAAAATGAGCGGAATGGAGATGGTAGGTGGCGATGGTGTGCGAGCAATGGGTGCAGCGAGAGTATTGGTGAGCAAAGGTGAGCGGGTGGACAGTGAGCGAAATATAGATATAAGAGCAGGTGATGAACGGTGTGACGAGTGATGTTGATAGCAACGAGTGAACAATAATAAGAGAACGATAAGTGCGATCAGGTAAAGTTGTGTGTGATCTGTGCGTTCCTTAATGACTAGGTTTTCATAGAGGAAATGAGCGAGCGATGTCAGTGAATAAGCGAAACATATATTTATAATATGCAATGACAGAAATATTTATAATATGCAATGACAGAAATAATGAATGTCATCATGCTTGACAATTAACACAGAATCTTGAATCGTTGCTACTTGATCTTAAGAGATTTACAACAAGATTTCAATAATGCTCAAAATTAGAACATTATAAGTAAGAAATGCTACTGTTACTAGATATTCCTATGATCTAATTGACAAGAGCGTAATACCCCTTTAATTACTTTAAAACCTATTTCATTAGTGGTTTTACCCTTTTGCTACATCTCTTTTATCATAATCGAATTCGGAAAAATATTTAAACAAGTCGACAAGGCTCCCGCGTATTTAACTACATTGAACTGTCTAAGTTCTTTTAATGAATACGACGCGAACCTAGGTTTAACTAGTCGATCCTTCTATATTCTTTCAAAGTAAACAAAATTCTGAAGTTTCTCCCCAAACATGAATGTGAATTTGGGAAATGAAGGTGAATACGAAATAATTATGATATTTCATTAAACTAATAAAAGTAGTAAAGTTCTAAATTAAGGAAGCAATAATAAAGCTGTAAATAAAGCTGTAAACTATTCTAAAAAGCTGTAAGATGAACGGCTAAAGGAGGAGAGGATTTTGACTCCTCTGGCCATTCCTAACTACATAGCTCATTTATTGAGTTGGAGCTCTCGGAAAGCACTAAAAATCTGCATAAAAGAATTAACACTTATGTATAGTGTTATGTACAAATGGAATCTGACCCTATTTATAGATCTTTAAAATCGGTAGTTGAAAAACAGTTGAGCAACTGTTGAAACTGCTAAGCACTTAGGCGGTTGACAACAATTAAGCTGTTAGAGCAGTTGCATCGGCCGTAACTTCCAAGTTAGTCGCTTCATTTGCCTCAGAATGCATGGGCCTAGAACTTCCTCGCTCACCTACATGGCAGGAGGGCACCGACACAACTCAAGTGGCGCTGTCATCGCTGGCTGGGAATGGATTGTCTTGATCGCTGAGAGATGAACACTTATATGAATTTTGGGATATTCCGATCTCGCTTACGCAGCAGTGGATGTCTGGTCACTGGCACTAGCTAAAGCGGTTAGAGCGTCGCTTGCCTAGCCGAGAGCCTCTTCGCTTGACTTTCAATACTCAGCTTTTTTGGGCAAAAAATATAGCTTAAAAATGCTGAAAATGTCAATAATCTCAACAAATACACTCTGGATCATGTCAAACAAAACAAAACAATAAAGTAGGTTGTAAATCAGATATTGTGATAATTTTAACATAAAAATTCAAATAAGACACAATTTTATTAAGTGAAAAATATGCTATTATTTGAAATTATCAATGTGTTCCTTGTTGAATTATACGTACGTTTGGATCCGAATATGGTGGCAAAGTAAAAAAATATCCAAATTAAATGGTAAACAATTTAATTTGTTATGGGCACAATTTCTACAGCTATTTTATATTTATCCATAACATTCGACACTACAGTTGATTATATGTATTATTGAATCCGAACTCGTTGGTACACATTTGAATGTTACAATTTTATTTATTAATATTATTTTAAGAATGATGTTGATAAAAATTTCTATTAATCATCTATTGAGAAGTATTAAATTTTTATATCAGTTAGAAATTTTTTGTTATAAAATTAAACTATGATTGAATATATATATATATATGGTTAATTAGATTTTTTTTTTTGTAATAAAATAAAACTATGGTTGAATATATATATATATATATAATTAATTGAAATAATTTATATGTATTAGGCGAAAAGGTTAGGCCAAGAAGAAGACGATAATTTTTTACCTATATTTCACCAGTAAAGAACGAATATGCAAAAAAATTTTTAATTTTGATATATAAATAGAAGTTATTTATTTATTGGAAAATATAAAATAGTGAAAAAAGAAAAAAAAAACAGATTCTACTTAGTTTCCATAGTGTAAATTAAAATAATTTTACATTAATTTTGAAAAAAAAATTATTTGATTTTATCCAAATATATAATATTATTATTAATAAAATTTATCTAAAATAATTAAACGAGGGAAATTATTTTATTCAAAAATTAAAAAATTAAAAAAAAAAGGATATAAACGATGTGCACCATATTGTCCTCATATGTGTATATATATATAATACAAATTACATATCTAATTCTACTTGTAATCTCATGGATCATTAGTCATATTTGATGATCATCAATGATTCAAGATTATCCAGAATAATTCAATAAGAAAATACCAAGAATCAACCGCTACTTATATTTTTATAACATCAGCATCCTGAAAAAAAAACCATTATATATAAAAAAGAAACCTCTTCTATTAGTACAACATCATTATTATTTTCGATAATCATCCTTAACTGCAACATAAATATTTTAATTTGTTTAATTTTGATTTAAAATTGTAGATTTAATATGAATTTGAGTTTATATATTCCCTCATCATCGAATTTTATTATTTTTTTAATGAAAATAAATTTAAATAAGAGATAAAAATAATATTTAATAATCCTATAATATTTTATCACACAAGCTAAATAATGATAATTTTAATTTTAAATAGAAAACAAAGGCACCCTGTGATTCTTGCATTATCATTGGGTTTGTTTGTGCAACAATTTTTTGCAGCTACGGTTCCAAAAACTAGCACTCCATTCGATTACTTAAAAAATTTACATTTACATTTTGGGTTATTATGTTTAATATTAAAAATATTCTTATAGTATAAATTTTTGTATAAACATCTTCTATTAGTATTATAATACACTAATAAAAAATATTTTTGTCATTTTTTTTATTTGTACTATATTTTGATATAATAATTAATATTTAAATATCTACCTGAAAAAAACAAATGTGAACCTTCAAACTGGACGGAATGAGTATTTTATATTTTTACACACTTTCCTATACTTAATATGAAAATTTTAAACACTTATTACAAAATATCAAACATTCAATTTAAAATAATATTATATTTTATACTTTAACACAATTCTTCGTATTACATACCAAAAATCAATCCATTCAAAAACACCATGTGAATAGAGCCATTATTGTTTGGCAACTCATTTATTATTATTTTTCCAATAATTATATTTTATACTTATTGTTTAATAAATGAAATGTGTTTTTATTGTTTTATTTTATTTAATTTGAAATATATTTAAATTTAAAGTACTATTTAGTTATATACTTAGCGGGACGTGCGATCTACATACCTAAATGATAAATTAATTATTTTATGTATTTATT